GGACGCAGGCATGAATAGTATTCTTCCACCATTCCCTTGTGAGGCACCCCCCACCCCGGCCCCTGCCACACACCGACCTTCACCAGTGACTCTGATGTGGCTGAGCCACTTGTTTCCAAGCCTTTCTCTTCTCTGTCCTATTTTTACAATTCTTTTGTGGTTCTTGCTTATTTCTCAGTCTACAACGTGTGGGAATAATATCTTAATTCCACCCACATAATAGGAGAGGACTCACGAGTTACTGTACCTGCAGCACTCTGAGGCCATGGGATGAAAGGAATTCAAATAACCCAAAGAGATCTTTTTGTTAAGTCTTACTTCACAGGCGGTATGCAGGAAAAATTAGCTGACGCCAGGGAGGGGCGTCGGAAATGAAGAGAATGAAATTACATGCATCATTGCTAATTATTTTCTTTGAAGCCCTCAATGCTTGTTTTCTACCAATACAGTCCATGTAGAAAAACTCGCTGTCTGGATTTTAGGAACAAAACAGAGATGTCTGAAAGTCTTCCATTTGTCTTCTAAAAATTACAGGACTGGGGGAAAGGGAAGGAGCCTCATTTGCCTTTCTCCCTTATACATCTATAGAAGGAAGAGCTGGGCTCATCTGGAATGTTGCTAGTAATTCAGTTTGCACTGCCAAGTGCCCCTTGGCTTGTGCCCAGCAGCAGGGCTTGTGAGATCGGCTCAACCTTCCACACCAGACTCGGCCCAGCCAGGTGGTTCCCCGGTGGGGCCTCAGCCCTGTGCAGGGGCAGGTGCGCAGGCTGGTAGGGACACAGCAGTCCTGTTGCTGGGACATCGGTGAGGCTCTGTCCCTCTCAACTCCCTAAACCCCGCCCACAGCCTGCTGGCTGGACCCACAGTCTTTTGAATTCACTCATTTGTCAACCATTACTGAGCATCTACTATGTGCCCCATACTGTTCTGCGGAACAAAATAGATAAAGCCCTGCTTTGGGGGAGGTAGGCATCCCAATAAAGAGACATTAAACAACGAAGAAAGATGGACAGCATGTCAGCAGACTGTGAGTACTAGGAAGATGTGCGGAGCGGTGCACGGGAAGGTAGTGACGGGGACAGGGGCGTTGGGTACTGTTTTACAGGAGTGGTCAGGAAGGGCCTCCCTGGGGAGCTGCCTTTGCAGCAGAGAGCTGAGGGAGACACAGGAGCAAACAAAGGTAATGTCAGAAAGAACAGTGTCCGGGGCAGAGGAAACAGCAGGGGCAAAGGCCTTGAGTTTGGCTCAAAAGTGGAGTTTGCTCCGCGTGTTCCAAGAACAGCAAGGAAGCCAGTGTGCCTGGAACAGAGCCGGCGAGGGGAAGGGCAAGTGGTAGGAGGTGGATCCGAGGGCGGGTGGGGGGACCACACACAGCACAGGAGCAGGACTCTGCCTGTAGCTCAGGCAGCACTCTCAACCAGCCAGCTTGCTCAGTCAGCAACGGCGTGTTGCGCACCCCATGCCCCTGGCTGGCCTTCCGGGTCCCCTGCTGGGGGCTGAAGGGAAGAGTGCAAAGCCGTAACAGTTGCAAAGGGGGGTGAGGCTTTAGTATAATTATCTTTTTTTTCCCCAGAAGTAATAGTTGCACATTTTAGAGAATATGCAAAGTGGAAAAAAGGATGACACAGATCCAGAATATTAAAGAGAGCAGGTAACTGGGAGTATCATTGTTTCCTCACTGTTTCCCAACCTTCATATAATGTGGTTGTAATGTAATATATGAGTAAGTTTATAACATATATGTTTTTAGTGTTTTTAGATACGTAACTTTTATTATTCTGTGAAGATAAAACATACAGATGAAATTTTTCCTTATTTAATGTTGCAAACCCATATTATTATTTATATATGTTACAAACCCACATTATCACATACGGTACAAACCCATATTATCTCATATAAAAATACTGTATAGCTGATCATGAATTAGGTGTGTAAGTCCAACAACGTATCCCTCTGTTAAAAAAAAAATTATCCCAAACTTCAGTGTCCTATGTTGTTTATCCTGAATGATCACAGCAGGATTTTGTGAACTGAACTGAAGGACTGGGGGAAGGAGATCATTGCGTGTGTAAGACAGCACTTTGTGGGGGCGCCTGGGTGGCTCAGTAGTTAAGTGTCTGCCTTCGGCTCGGGTCATGATCCCAGCGTCCCGGGATCGAGCCCCGCATCGAGCCCCACATCGGGCTCCCTGCTCCGCGGGAAGCCTGCTTCTGCCTCTCCCACTCCCCCTGCTTGTGTTCCCTCTCTCGCTGTGTCTCCCTCTGTCAAATAAATAAATGGAATCTTAAAAAAAAAAAAAAAGACAGCCTTTTGGACTCAGTTTCCAAAACAATTTTCACCTCTTAGAAAACAAATATTCAAGGATGGAACCTTCAGAGAAATTAAGAACAAATCAACTGAGCGAATTTCAAATATGGAAAAGAGCATGGCACAGAATATCAGCCATATTTTATGTTATAACATGTTCATATGTGTTTATAAAACATGCATCTTTTTTAGAAAAAAATTTATTTGAGAAAGAGAGAGTGCGGGGGAGGGGGGAAGGGGGGAGGAAGAGCAGAGGGAGATGCACTGAGTGTGGGGCCTGACTCGGGGCTCGATCTGACGACCCCGAGATCATGACCTGAGCTGAAATCAAGAGTCAGACACTTAACCGACTGAGCCACCCAGGCACCCCAAAACATGCATCTTTATAAAGAAGCTCAACTGAAAATTTTTCTCAAGATAAAACAGACTTGCACCTAATATACTCTCTTAACTTCTGTTAAAAGGAGGAGCCCAACCTCTGTACACTGAGATGCCACTAGTTCTGAGCCTCTCCTCTGTGCTAGGTACTTTTCTTGTTGCTGGTAACCCAGCAGCAAACAGGACGGAAAATAACTCAATTTTTATCTTTTCTTCCCAAATTCCAATTGTCCAAAAGGACAGCAAATCAATCTAGAAAACACATGCTTAATTGTCCCTCTGAACGAGGGTGAGGTTTCAGAGTCCGTGGCACGTGCTGGAAAAGTGGGCAGAAGGCGGGTTGCCAGGACACGGGGCTATGGTGGTACAACTTTGCAGCAAACTACTTGGCACCCCCCCAAATAGATCTTTGTCTGCTCCCTCTCTTGCTGCCTTCCCTGCTGCCCAGACAAAGCCAGGAAGCCCCCACCTGTGGCTGAAACCCTAGACAGTGTCACCCACTGCTGTACACAGTGGCCAGGCTTGGAATGCACCCCTTGAAGGCTGGGCCTTGCTCAGCCCTTAGATGACCTGACGTTCTTGGGCTGATAACTAGCCACACTGCTCAGTCCCTCTACTTGCCGTCAACAGATTCTGCTCCTGACACACAAAGGCTTGAAGGAAGAGTCATGTTTAATAAAAGCATGAAAAGGCACGCTATTCTTTCTGAGAGCACCACTTCCCAGCAGAAAAGGCATAAACAAAAGGGGAGTCCCATCCCTTCCGGGAAACTAACCATTTCTATAGAAAGCAAGGACCACTCCAGACAGCCACTTCTGGCCGGACCCATAGTAAGCACATCATAGCAGCCACCACCACGTGAGCACTTCTGTGGACAGACAGACAGACAGACACTGGGTTGGGCGTATTTATCACAGCACCCCTCCTAGACAGGTACCACTGACCCCCACTGTTCAGATGGGGAAACCAAGGCCAAGTCAAAACAATGACTTGCCCAGCTCAAAAGAGGCCAGGTACGTTGGGAGATTGTGAGGCTGTGCTCACATCTTTCTCCACCTGGTTTTACTCATTGTTAGAAATAACGGACAAAGCTTCCAGAAACGTAATCAGCCACAATGCCTAGCAGTGTAGCTCAGATCAGGAAACTTACCTCTGTGAGGGCCATTTTGTTGGCTGCTTCTTGCATGGCCCTCCACCCCTTCCGTCTCAGATTCAGGAATAGCTGGTGCTCACGGAACACAATGGCTTCAAACCACAGGAACATTCCCTTAGAGGGCCTCGGTGACCTCCCCCCGCCCCAAGTGTTAGAGGCCAAATTACTAGGAAAGTGTTTTTTAAAAATATAAATCCGATCGTGGCTCCTTATTCTTGACAGACCTCCCCCAACCTGCTATCCTAACGGCGATGAAGCCCTTGACAGGGCTTCTACAGACAAAAGCTGCGGAGGAGCGGTTTCCTGGGAGTGAAACTTCCCATCGGGACCCCTGGAGGCTCCCGTTCCCACCAGCCCCACCAGCCCATCTCCGTCCAAAACTCCGTAGAGTTCTTGGCATTTTCCTCAGGGTGCCGCTTGCCCTGAGAGGAATACCGAGTGGGTCTCTTGTGTCGGAGGTGTATTAAAAAACAAACTCTGCAGATTTGAGATGTGAGATTTCTACCGTGGAAAGGTAGAAAGCCTAGTGGCCCGGAGTCCTGGTTCTGGCTTGTAGGGTGGCCTTGGGGCGCCTTCTCTCGGCCTCAGCTTCCCCTTCTGTAAAACGGGAGGGGTCCCGGTGAGCACAAAGGCGAGACCTCGCAAGCTCACCCCTCCCGCGTGACACGGGGGTGGTCTCCCTCCCAGGACGCAGTTCTCCCACGGCGCCTCCTCCCCCGCGGAGTCGGACGCGTGGGCCCGCTCCCCCGGCCGGGCCAACCCCCC